CCTATTCCTAGGTTCGTAGTTCGTTCTTGAACTTTGCTGGGCCCTGGCATAACTGCCCGTACCGCCTCCATCATTCGCATGGCGTGAGCGCTCCCTTGGGTTGGAACGCTCCTTCCAATAGCTCCCATTCACGATTGCGTCAAGCTTCCGCATCATTAAGTCAGATTTGGCATCTAACCTTTTTTCCAGGCTAGTCATCGTATGGGCGTAGGTATTATCATGATCGTTCAACAATCGCTCGATCTCTCAACTTCCTCCCGCTCGAGGTCTTCGCTCGGCTCAAAGTCGGGTCGAATAAGCGTCCGTTCCCCTTCGTCAAAGGGGTCCACAAGCGTTTCGTTCGCGGGTCCGACCTTGGCGCTCCGCCCTTGATCGCCATCGAGATTTTTCTCGCTCCTTAGTTTCATTTCGCTCACTGAAAGATCAGGTTGACCTTTAGTCGATTCGTTTTCAGCAAACACGTCGGAAGCGCTGCTAAACGAAGATTGGCTACACCTAGTTTTAAAATTTCGCGTGCTTTCCTTGATCAGCCTGGGTATCTTAGTAGTCGATCTTAACGAGTCCCTGCGCTGCATACTTTGTGACAAATAACAATATTCTTATAATTTAATGGCGATGCACACGTACCGCAAACAAGTTCAAGTTAAATTACTTAACGCTGCCTCTTCGATCTCGTAAGTATCAAAAATGTCTCTTAGATTTCTCAATGACAATCTTAGTGACTCAGCTAAAGTTACACACAGGGCCTACTCCGTATTGATGTAATGCTAACTCAACCCTGTTGTATAGTATAACAGTATCACAAAATTTTCACAAGATATAATCAATACACAAAACACAATTGATAATCAGATAAGAATATCCTACAGGTGACAGCGACCTTTCGTCAGTATCAATTTACCGCCACACTCTTATCGAGTCACTGCTTTGTTAAAACCAAACAATCTTTGGTAAAAATCAGTGATGATTCAGAAACAGATCAATAAAACTTTGTCTTAAAGAAAAATACTTCACTCAATCGCAACGATCCGAAAGAACGAAGCCCTGGACACAGTCTTCTCAAGTGAGTGTGTATTTACCTAATACACCCACCGTGGTCTTCTTTTAGGTGTCCTGCGATTGCCCGAGCTGTCCTGCTAAGTAGCTCAAGGCAACCTCTGATCGAAAATTTCTTAAGTCTATGAAAAAGCTCCCCATACCCGGAACGCTCCAAGTGCACGAGAGCAGGGAACAACTTTTCTTCTCAAGTGAGTGAGTATCTGCCTAAAACACTCACCGAGGTCTTCTTCTTTGTGTTCCCGGATTGCCCGAGCTTTCCTATTAAGTAGCTCAAGGCAACCACACAACCAAAATCACAAACAAAAAAAAATTTTGGTTCGGGTACTTATGATACACCCGATCTAGAATCCAAAGTTGATCACGAATTTCCGGGTCAAAATTGGCTCTCATGATCCTAATAAGCAGCACGCCTAATATCCTAATATCATCCTAATTAAATGGATATTTTCCGTTTCCCAAATTGCCACAGAAGGTTTCCTCAAATTTCTAACAAGGAGGGTTGTTAAGAGGTTTAGGTCACTCCGGAAGGTTACTTCGGAGGGTTGTTAAGACACTTAGCCTACTCCGGAGGGTTACTTCGGAGGGTACATTAGTCACCCAAGAGACTTCGGAGGGTCCCCCTTAACTCACTAAGGAGGGCCAATAAGAGGCTTAATATGCTCTGGAGGGTTACTTCGGAGGGTTCCTCCCAAAATTTTCAAATTTTTTGAAAAGGGCCTTCAACTAGCTTAAGAAAGCGTCAAAACAAGCTAAATTCTCTATGGTGGGTTGTTTTAACTTCTTCGGAGGGTCTCGTGGAAAATCTCTACTAAGGAGGGTTGCTAAAGGGCTTAAGTCACTCCGGAGGGTTACTCCGGAGGGTTCCGCAAAAATCAGGAAAAAGGGTTAATTTACCGCAATAAAGCCTCCGAATGCGGTGTACCTTACTTAAAACTAGGTTGTTTGACACGGTCAACCTTCCCAGAAGGATAAAAAGGTGTTTTGATAAAAATTTTCTGCCGCTCGGAGGGTTACCTATAACTTGGACCCTCCGAACCAACAAATTCTAAAAAAAAATTTATTTTCCGAGATTATCAATCCAAAAACGGTTGCGGTCCGCAAAAGTGGTCCAAACCGTCGACTTATGGTACCAAAGTTATCCCGATCAATTGGCTAGTCTTTGAGAAATCGCCAAAAACGTGTTTGTCCAAATGGCCTTTTTTCACCACCTACATAGGTTCTGAGAAACTTTTTCCGCAATTCCTATTGAAAGTGCCTAAAAAAATTTGAAACGAGCGTAGTAGCCCTGTACGGCACTGGAATAATGCAAAAAACTGGACCAAAATTGGTTTGGAGGCAAAAATTTGGCCAATAACTATCAAATTTGGACCCTCCGATTCCTTCCTTTTCCAATCCTTAAGTCGTTAGCTCTATCCACGGAGCTAATCGGAGGTTTACTCAAGAATTTTTCTGGCAGCCGAGCACTTTATGCTAGCACGCTCCTAACACAAATAATTTTATTGCTCTAGCTCTAAAAACTCAAAAACTTGATCCCCAAAACAGATTGACAAAATTCAGAAAATTATCGAAATTTTGATCGAAAAATTTTCGTTTTTTCCAACTTCTACTGAGTCTTTTCTCACGCAGTTTTTTTAGTCAGGGGGATCAAACTACGTAGCTACTCCCTATATAAAGCTTTTTGCTGTTCGGAGAAGCTCGGATATCCAAAAATTTGGGGGTCTATAGTTTGTCGAAAATCAGTAATTTTCGACAAGATTTGGGTGTTTCTTGGGTCTAATTAGGAGATAAGTAATAGATAAAAAGAATAATAACCTATTAGTAGTCGTTAATGAATAGTACTATACCCTCCTTTGCACCAAAATACCCGAATTAAGAACCTTAACTCGGAAATTTGTAATCGATGGAGGGTACAATCGGACCACGCCAATCTTGCCCCCCACCACTTAAGTTTTGATGAAATAGTACCCGAACGATACTGAAATTGTTTCAACGATACCCAACAGTCGTTTTGGATGTTGTCCCTGATGTCCTTGTTGAGTGTGGAACACGTCGGTCAGCTTGCCACTCTACCCTCCGGCCACCGGCAAAATCACCATTAACGTGCTTAAATACTCAAATTACTCTCAAGGGAGGGTATCCAACCCTTCACCAAAAATAACAATCTTTCCTTCAGAAATGATATAAATCAATCTGACACAACAAGAAATAGGAAGGTCAGATCATATCTCGTCCGGAAATAACATATAAACTGTCACTTTATGTTTTTTACTGTTTTTGGTCTTTTTTGGATTTTTTACTGTTTTTTGTACTTTTTTGTTTTCAAATAAATTTATTTTTGGCTTTTTCTTGGTTATACACTATTTTTGTTTGGTTTTACGCTTTCTCTTTAATTGTTTTTGGTCCCGGGATCTTGGGACAAGCGGGCTCATGACTTCCCACCTAACCTTCCGGCCCCCGTAATTTTCGGTGTTAACTAAGTTAAAAAGCTGAATAGTACTAGGCGGAGGGTACGCACCTTCCCCCTAGTACACTAACGGTCATTAAGGTCTCTAACTCGGGCATACGCCCGGAGCGGAGGGTTCGTCGCTGAAACGCTTGCTGATCATGATGGTCTCATGCCTTTAACAGGCCCACCCAGGAGCGCCATAAAAACGTCTATGTAACATTCGCCCAAATACTACACAGCGACGGAGCGTAGAAAAAGTACCTATCGACGACTGGCAGGCGTCAGTTACCTTAATCCTACTCGTTTTTCACCGTCTCGACCTTGCCAGTTGATTTTCTGGTCTGTTTAGGGCTAAGTAAAAAGTTACTATTTTTAGGCCATCAGTCAAACGACTTTTGTTCAGCTTTCGTTTACATGCGAACACAACCACATAGCTGAGTCTCGGATCCTCAGACTACGTGATTGTTATTAAAAGGACGGCTCGAATACTCTATTTTATTATGTTTTTGTGTGACAGTTCTTGATTAAATCCACTGGAGATGGATTGACCCTTTCCTCTTTCTAGCTACTCATATTCTAAAATATCAAATAATACCGGTGTTTATTCAAAGTTCAATGGCATCAGAGTAGCTAAAAAGTTAGTTTACTGCAGTCCTTCAACATATGACAGTCTCTGGGGGGCCAAACCTCCGCTCCCGTGTTCTTCTCGAGATAACGTTCTTATCTCTCCCAATTTGTGGCACGGGAGGGTTCCGCGGAATATTCCTTTCCCACTGAAGCTTCCTTTTCCACTAATTTCCACTGCTAAGGAACTTATCGTGTGTTATTGCCACGATAAGAGGCTCCGTTTTTCTCGTGTTCCCGTACGACCGTTTTTCACTATATTTGTCGTTGTTCTGTTTTTTCGTTCTTTTTCGTCAAAATGGCCGTCTTTTTGTATTTCTGAGAAAAACTTGCCCGTCAATCGAAATTTTAAAAATTTAAACTTCCGGAATGTTTCGACCCTCCTGTGCAGTACTTTTTTGTTACTAAGGCCTTTAGTCGTCTTTTTCTGTCCCGCCGGAAGGTTGCGCTGTGCCAATCTGGCAGAATGGAACAACTATTAATTTTGTGTAAATTTGTTCACCTGTTCAAGCTAACACGTTTTATTGCGGTTTTCAACATGAAAAGTAATATTATATAGATTTTCTTTTAATGAATTTCAAAAAAAATCAAAGGGGGAGGGACTGAAAAAGAGCCAACAATTCGGATTCTTGTGTGGTAAAACGTATTTATAAGGCAAAACAAAGAATTATTTAGACAATAGCCTATTAGAAAAGTAAACAATAGACAATTACAAATCAAAATTTAAATTATCATTTTAAATTCTTATTGTCTTATATCGATGAATATTTTTGGCACCTGATTTGGAGTAAAACCAGAAAGATCAAACTAAAACACCGGAATAAAATGCTCTTACCAATTTTCAATTGTTGTGATAAACTTTTAGCCTAATTGTTGTGATAAACTTATTAAATAGATTAGTTATGTTTGATGTTTGTGCCTGTATGTGGAGCGCCCTCCGAGGGATTTTTGAGACAGGTCTGTCAAGTGGCTTTCTGTGGGGAGGTGGGAAACTGGAACTGGCTTGAGGAGTCTGGTGGTGCGCCGCTGGACCTACTGAGCTCGGGTGAGATTGTTCCTTGTTTTTGATTTTTAAAATTCGATTTTAAAATTTAAATTAATTTAGTTGTCTTTTTTTATTTGCTGATTTGTTAAATTCCCACTAACCGCTTATCATGGGTTAGTTCAGTCCCCTAAAGTCCAGTCAAAATTCTTTTTTTTTACCTTTATGCTGCGTCAAGATGAGGAAAAACAACAAAGAGTGTACAAGCAAAGATTGCTTAACACCTTCAGGACTGAAAAATTGGATTAGATGTGATTGTTGTTCTAGTTGGTATCATATCAGTTGTGTTAATATTTCTCTTAGCGACTCTAAGAAAACCCAATGGCTTCAGTGTCCTTTATGCGTTGATGTAAAATCTGTTAATAAAGCAACAATAGGTAATGATTTAGTGCTAGACAATTAAGTTAATACAGCCATTTCAAATGTCCGAGTACTCAAGAGAGTACCAAAAGACTCGCGTGTTCCCTTGGCGGAAAGTCTTTCGGACAAAATAAATGACATCGTCTACAATGTAGAAGATGTTACAAAGTGGCTAATTTTTTAACGTCGTTCTTGTTTTTTTGGAGCAACCGAAAAAAAGTGGACGCAAACAGACCACAAGCATGAGCTCTTTGATAAATATAAAAATTCGAGCAAATGACGTGTCACCTCCAAAACCCCATCCCCAAGTTTCGAGCCCGCCTCTGAGTGACCTCGAGCAGAGAATAAAGTTAATAAGTAGTAAGCTCGATGAAGGAAATGTAAAGGGAGGAATAAGGCTTGCGGCTTCGGATGACAAAATAGCTCCTTTTTTAACTAATAACTATCAAAAATTTTTGTCTAAGCACCCGCAGCGAGCCAAATTTGCAGCTCCAAATCCAGAAAAATTGGATAGTTTTTTCGTAACCGATTTGGACCTATACAAAGCGATAAAGTCCTTTCCAAACGGATCAGCAGCAGGTCCTGATAAATTAGTTCCTCAAATTTTTAAAGATCTTGTTAGTTAGTCGAATGGCAGTGCAGGACTTAATTTTCTAAAATCGCTTATTAAGCTGATAAACCTCATTGGAGATGGCAAAATACCCGAACCACTAAGACCTTTCTTTTTTGGCACAAAGCTTATCGCTCTCATAAAGATAGACGGAGGGTTGAGACCGATTGCCATAGGCAACACGCTGAGACGTATCGCGTCTAAATGCGCTGGAAGCAAGGCCCTCTCCGAGCGACAAAATTTTTTCGGAAACGTTCAGGTAGGATGCGGTACCAAACGAGGAGCAGAAATAGCTGCGCACTCGTTTCGAAACCTAATTGAACGCGACGACAATCCAAAATGCACTGTTCATTTAAAACTAGATTTTAGGAATGCCTTTAACTCTTTAAACAGAGAAACAATGCTGAATCATGTTTATTCAAATCGCCCCGAATTGTATAATTACACCCAATGCGCGTATGGTAAACCTAGCTACCTTTTTTACGGAAGCTCTGTCATAATGTCAGAAGACGGAACTCAGCAAGGTGATACTGAAGCCCCACCCCTTTTTGCGGAAACAATTCATACACTAGTCGAATAGTTGGAGTCGAAAATTAACATCTGGTATTTAGATGATGGGAATTTAGCCGACGACTATAAGGTAGTACTCCGCGACCTTAAAAACATTCTGAAATCGGAAAAAATTTACGGCCTGAGCTTAAACACTGAGAAGTGTGAACTTTGTTTTTTGGGACCGACTACTAGTACACAGTATAATTCAATTTTAACACAATTTCGAAAAATGTGCCCCAAAATAAAAATAAAAACAAAAGAAGAACTCCACATTTTACGATCTCCAATCGGCGAACTTTGCCGAAAAAAATTGCCCGACGAAAAAATTAAGGAGCTTGAAAAAATCTCGGATGTCATTGACAAACTAGACGCCCATTATGGTTTTTACCTCCTGAAAAATTGCTTTAGCATGCCAAAACTCCTATATTTTTTGCGTACAAGCCCTTGTTTTTTGCAAAATGATTTTTTGGAACGCTACGATAAACTACTAAGAAATTCGTTATGCAAGATCTTTTACGTGAAAATGGATGATAACCAGTTTTTACAAGCAGTTCTCCCGGCAGCCAAAGGTGGCTTGGGCGTTTCTTCCGCTCATCTACTCGCTTTACCCGCTTTCTTAGCCTCAGCAGTAGGAGCAAAAGATGCCTTGAGCGAAATCTTTGGTTTGGAGCATGTGGATGGAACCTATGATGATGCGCTTAAACGGTGGTTTGACCTTGGAAAAATTGAAATGGCTCCGGAAAATGAAATCCAAAAAAATGGACGGAGCCAATTTTTGACAGCGAAATTGCAGTCTTGATTTTACGACTCGAACCAACGGACGTAAAAAGGTTCAACGCGTTCCAAGATAGATTTGGCTCTCAATGGTTGAACGTCATCCCGTGCTAAAATTTAAGGTTAAAACTGTCGAACCAACAACTCAGAATTGCGATAGGACTTCGATTAGGATCAAAAATATGCGAACGGCAAAAATGCGTGTGCGCAAAAGACGTTACCGAGGATGGTTGACATGGTCTTTCTTGCCTCAAAAGTGCAGGGAGATTCTCTAGGCATTCAAACCTGAATGCCCTTTTAAAGCAGAGTCTATCATCTACTCACATTCCGTCTGTTTTAGAACCACGACACCTCTACAGGACCGATCAAAAGCGACCAGACGGTTTGACGCTCGTTCCATGGGTTGATGGTAAGCAGCTCTTGTGGGATGTAACGGTAGTAGACTCCTTAGCTCCTTGTAGGATTAATGTCGGGTCTGTTTGTAACCCTGGTACAGCTGCCGCTGAAGCGGAAGAGCGAAAAATTGACAAGTATAAAGATCTTGTAAATGATGGATATTTTTTTCAACCCCTTGCTTTTGAAATTCAGGGCGCGGACGGCCCCAGCACAGAAGTTTTTTTGAGCAAGCTTTGTAAGAACCTAAGCATATGCACTGAGGAACCCAGAGCAGGCAGCTTTTTAAAACAGAGAATCTCCCTGGCAATACAGATTGCGAACTCCGCTTGCGTACTCGGAACAATAAATGGCAAAATAACTTTCGACGAAATTTTTTACTTGTAACACTTGTATATTATAGTATCTCGTGTCGAGTTGCGTGTTCTTATTGAAGAAACGTAACCCGTATCGATTTTAATTGAAAAGGACTTAAACACTTGTCATCTTCTTTTATCATTATCACTCCCATATCTAGAAAATTCCAAGGACTTTGACTGGAATACATGATGAAGGGACTCATGACTGTAACCTCGGTTACTATGATACTTTTGACCTTCTAATTACCTTAAAAAAAGAAAAAAAATTTTCAATGGTCGGAACAACTATGCTTTTTGATCTGAAAGGCCAAATGTGATGGAGAGGTATTAATTTCTTACGGTATCACTGTAAAGCTTTTCTGCAATTAACTAGAAGGGGAGAGATCCTATTTAGCCTCGCTAAGCAAGGGGTCTCTTCCCTTGAATATACAAGGGGAGAGATCCCTTGCGTATTGAGGCCTAATTCATGTTACATACATACATACAATGCATTTCAGATAGCCCAGTGGAAGCTTGCCAGTGAGTCGTTTCGAATTTGGGTCATTCTGCTTATGTCATAAAGAGCGAGCCATTAAAGAAACGAAAATTTGCTCAGTTGCCTCCAGCTTTGTATGTGCTCGCTAGGAGTACTCCTATACGATATCCGCTCATAACACCGACGAATTGCATAAAAGTGTCCTCGTCTCCTGGATCTGAGTGGTTTCCTAGTGTAGCAATTGCTGCAGCAAACCAGCTTACCGTTAAATTCACGACAAATTCTGAAGGTAACTTTGGTTTCATTTGGTTTCGACATGCCATTACGGATCGTTTTTCCTAAAAATATCACAGAAAACTTCGTCAACGCTATTTTGCAATGATTTCCCCCAAGCTTTTATCTGTTTTTCTTTGTGAGCTGGAATTGATTTGGAATAACCATTAGAGTCAAAGCATCCAGTAAATTCGTCCAAAAACCTAAATATGCAGACCCGGTTCTTCTCGAGACGAGAAAACTTTGATTTTTTTCCACAATTTGACGGCCTTTCCTTTTTTATATTCCCCGCCTGCTTTCCTCTTTATTACCTTAGGCATTCCTTTTGTGGGGGAGATAGGTGTCATCAATTTCTCCGTAGCTGGTCCAACCTTAAAGAGAAAAGGCCGCGCGTCATGCTCACCCAGCCATGGCAGCTCTATTACTTTTTATTACCGAAGTTTTTATTATGCTGCGGAGACATTAACCCAAACTTAGGTCCAATTATATATTCTTATGACATGTCGGAGAATATAAGAGATTACAAAAACAGCATAAAAATTCTACAATTAATCTGCAGGATTTTGAACAAAAAAAGATCCAGTTTCAAAAAAAAATTCAACTTTTGTGGGTTGAACACAGTTTTTGGGTTCACTGAGAAATAAAATAATAACTCTAATGACATTAAATTATGGACACTAGATAATGATCATTTTGTAGCTTTCCGATGTGATAGGTCAGCAGTAGTAAGTGAAAAGACAAAAGCAGGAGCAGTCATGATGCTCATTCCCAAATTATTGAATCCTAAACTACGCACAGACTTAAAGTTACTGCATCAGAAGAATCACAGCATCTGGTTAGACTTTAATTCTTTAAAAACAAAACGGAAGTTGCTTTAACAGATAACTTCGAGCAATCATAAATTTGTAACCTTATTCTTATGGCCATTTTAACATTAATTTTTAAATTCCGAAGAAAGAAAGCTTTGGAGCCAATTTTAATGCCTTATAGTTTGGAAATTGCCAATCAATCAACTCCAACGCACTCAGTGATTATATTGTTACAAATATAAATTCAAATGA